CAGGAAGCCAGTTTCAACATAAAGGCTAAAGGTGAGGGTCGAACGAGAGGCCCCAGAGCTGAGGCGCAAACCAGTATGGTGCAGAGCGTCAAGATGGCGAAGGGTACAAGGAGAAGCGGACGAGTTAGCAGGGCAACCATAATCGAGTTTAGACAGGACGAGAGAGGAATTCTTATATCTTATCTCTTACCTTCGTTAGACAGGATACGTTTGGTTAGATTAGGATAAGTTAGGATAGGTTTAGGTTATGTAAGGATAGGTTTAGCTTAGGTGAGGATGGATTAGGATAAGTATAAGTTAGACTAGGTTGGGTTAGATTAAGAAAGTTAGTATAGATTTGGGCAAGTTAGTAGCGATTAGGATAGTATAGATTTGGACAGGTTAGTATTGATTAGAATAGATTAATATAGATTAGAATAGGTTAGTATAGATTAGGTTAGGTTGGGTTACGGTATATTAATGCGTTTTTAAAGAAAAGCTATGACGAAAAATACTGACCTCGTGTATAGTATCCTACTCCACCAGGGGGGCATATGCGGATATCTCACAGTCGAGCGATATGCCCGATATATGAAATTACATTAAATATTGCCCTTTTGAAACATAATTAAACTGCAAGGAGCACAAGGAAAGCGTCTAGTAACAAACACTCTGTTCCAGTTATTTTCCGTGGTGAAATATCCCTTCCCAACGTGAGCCCGCTGTTTACGCCTCGCAGCAACACCGGATGTAAACATTGCATCAGCTGATAGGATGTTAACATTGCACCAGCTGATGGTGTCAACCCGTTCTCGATTCAAGTCCATTACATCCAGCGGTCGACCCCACAGACGCATTCATAAATTTGTACATGCTGTTTCATTCAAAACAGGAATTTTCTCAAATATAAATTAATATTAAAATATATTAGCATATTATGCATATATTGGCATAGGTTAGGTTAGGTGTTTAGGTTCTGTTGGCGATTATTTGTATTTGTAGTACGTGAATGAAGCATTTGGATCGTTGTGGTTCGAATAAAATTCGTCAGAGAAGCACTTGTTCCGGAAGTGTTCGAACGAAATCGGTTGTGAGTCGTGTGTAAACCATTTTTCATTCATAAACAGCGGGTTTGGCGGGTGCATGGAATCACTTTTGGGTCTTTGTTTAGAAAACGGGCTGGCAGCCTGTCCCCCTCCAGCCTTTTTTTTGTTTTTTTTTTTAATTTACGGCCTCGGCGGGTAATCGGTTCCATGGGCTTATAATCCTGTGGGTGAAAATGCATCTCCTGTTTTCTGCCCTACATTGTGGCTTGTTAAGCTTTGAACCATTGCTCCTTGTTCGTGTTACATCTGACCTTTTGTGAAAGCCTGGATCAATATCCAAGTCATCTCATTCCTATCATTCTTCAGTAAGGGTCATGGAAGGACTCATGCATACTCGCCTTTGACACTCTTGATATGCTTGCTAAGACAGCCTGCAGAAAACCAGTGGTAGAAATTGATATGGGTGTTTCATTAGCAGTGACAAAGAGAATACTTAAACAAATATCTAATGAAGATCTCACAGACCTAACAAATTCACAAAGACCGGAAAGTTGTAGCATTAAATATTATGATAGATATCGTGAGGAGACATTCACATATGAGACTAATAGAACAAGAACCCGGCAATGTGATGTTATAGTGGCCAGAATACGCCTGGGATATAGACGTATCTGGCAGCTTTCTCAAAACCCAAATGTCGAGTACACAATGTGTCAACTTTGTGAAAGAGAAAACATGCACTCTTGAACATTATATTGTAGAATGTCCCATATTGACTGACTTTCGCCCTCCTGGGCTAAGGTATGCTGAACTGTGTAATTACTATATGAGTACTGGAACACTTGATGATATATTGGACTTACCCAAGATTAACCATGTAATGTATCAATTATATAATGTATGTATGTGATTACATACATACATTATATAATTGTGTATGTATGTGATGTAACTATATAACCTGAGCTTGTAAAAGCACCTTCATCACCTTCAGTGATTAAGTGCTTAACTGCACACTAGTTTCTCTATCGGCTATTTCACTGTCAGAGTAAAAGAGACAAATGTGTGTGAATGCATGTGTGTGTGTATATATGTATGTACTGTATACATGTATGTATACATGTATATGTACATATATGTGTGTGTGTGATTACCTAAGTGTAGTTACAGGATGAGAGCTACGCACGTGGTGTCCCGTCTTCCCAGCACTCTTTGTCATATAACGCTTTGAAACTACTGACGGTCTTGGCCTCCACCACCTTCTCACTTAACTTGTTCCAACCGTCTACCACTCTATTTGCGAAGGTGAATTTTCTTGTATTTCTTCGGCATCTGTGTTTAGCTAGTTTAAATCTATGACCTCTTGTTCTTGAAGTTCCAGGTCTCAGGAAATCTTCCCTGTCGATTTTATCAATTCCTGTTACTATTTTGTACGTAGTGATCATATCGCCTCTTTTTCTTCTGTCTTCTAATTTTGGCATATTTAATGCTTCTAACCTCTCCTCGTAGCTCTTGCCCTTCAGTTCTGGGAGCCACTTAGTAGCATGTCTTTGCACCTTTTCCAGTTTGTTGATGTGCTTCTTAAGATATGGACACCACACAACAGCTGCATATTCTAGCTTTGGCCTAACAAAAGTCATGAACAATTTCTTTAGTATATCGCCATCCATGTATATAAAAGTGTGTATGTATATGTATGTGTATAAAGTACATATGGAAACTGATCAGAATTACATTTCACCTTTGTAAATGCACATTAATGACACTATGTAAAAGACACATCGAACACTTTATGTAGGGCATACGTAAATCTGTGTATCTATGTATTTACGTATGTAGGTTATCTTAGCATTTTAAAAAGCACCGAATCACCTTATGTGGTTGAGTGTTCAATAAACCCTTGAACTATATGTTTAACACATCTCTAACCCTGTCCATGGAGGACAGAAGAAAATGTATATATGCTGGTTAGCATTGTAAATGTGTGGCCACGTCTGTGGTAGAAAATAATAATAATAAAAAAAATGGTACCTTGACCACAACACCATCTTAGCCCAGTCCATCATCAATAAAGGGCTTTGAGGGTTACCTCTGGAGAGTTACTAAGGCCACCACAATACCTTACTGACCAACCAGCAAGTATGGTGTTGGACTTAAGACCTATCAAACTGTGGAGGGTTATTAAGGCCTTAAGCCCAACACCAAACTTGGTATGTATATATACCAAGATTATATATATATATATATATATATATATATATATATATATATATATATATATATATATATATATATATATATATATATATATATTTATAACCTAGAAGGGGTACCACCTCTGGTGCAAATGTAGGGACCCATAGCCTCGGAGAAGAAAATAAAGAGTACTCAGAGAAGACCTTGTGGATCCTCACTGAACACTTTGATATTTTCTTCTCCTACCACCCCTATTCTTTTGTTAAGTGTGTATATTTATCTAACTTTATTTGAAAATGTCATTACACAAAAAAAGTTACAATATTGATTACATACAGGGTACAAGGCTGCTTGTCACAAGTTGAATAGCTCCTCCAGCTCCTCAGATGGCGGGCAGGAACCATGGATGCAGTGAGCATTTCCTCTCTGGATTGCCACACTAAGGCGCTGAAAAAGAAAACTGGCAGCTCTGGGGTCTCTAGTTGTTTCGATTAGCTTAGACCCCAACTCCTTTAAAAAGCTAGCACCACTTTTACCCCAGGCACCAAGCGTCTCTGAGGCAATGGGGTCAAAATTGTAGTGGTGCTCAAGGTCTCTGTATTTACGTGACTTGGCCGCTTCCCGGTGATTGGCAGCTCCTCCTGCTTGTGTAGCACTGAAACGATACAGGATTCTATTTAACACAGGAATACAGGAATCCTATTTAATTTATAGGATTTATATATATATAATATATATATATATATATATATATATATATATATATATAATGTGTATATAATATATATTATATATTATACAGAACACTTCCTCATATGAGAGAATCGAACCATGGGCCAGTCAGGTGCATGGCCAGAGTCTTAAGCACTAGGTTAAGGCTCTGGCCTTACTGGACCATTCGACAGGTCTCCACTGGACCACCCCTCTCATGTGGAGAAGGGTGGTCCAGTAGAGAGGGGTGGTCCTGTGGACCATCGAATTTTAGACCATCACAGGACCGCCGGCTTGTATTTTCAGTCATATGCAACGCCAATCAGTTAAATGCACCCTAGTGATTTATATTCACCACGAGTGTAACACGCGTTTCTAGCATATAAATATATGTCTGCGGAGCTAGAATATATGAATGTTCCAATTGACACAAATACGACAGTAGGATAAAATGTACATTATATTTATGTATGGACTTATGTATAAGTGCCAGTATTCTTGAGTATTGATCATTCACTGTGATACGCAATCATTTGTCTACAAATTGTGGTGATTTCACATGTAGTCACTTCTTTTATTATTAACTTGTTTATTTATAATATAAAAATCCTTTCCAACATACACTTAAGCATGGATTTGGGTTATGGAAAGCATAAATAATTATTTGTTTTATTTCACTTGAATAGGTCGCTAATGTAAGCTATGTGGGAGTCTGTCATCCAACGTCATCCAGCCAAGGAAAATCTGTTTAATCCCATCAGCGTAAATATCATATTGCTATAACTGTGGCTTTGTTATAATATTAACAAAACTTTTCCTGGAGAACAACAAGTTCCTAGAAGAGATTCGTAGCATGTGGGTAGCCTAGCCTCCCCAGTAAGGGAGTCTGACCCGTGTGTCCCCGAGCCCAAGGTTGGCACTCAATCTTCTTCTCAGTTGCCATGGCCCGCCCTAAACTTCTCCTGTTCATTTTGTTACATAAGAGTTCAAATGAACAAGCCTCAGAGTATTGTATATTCAAGCGTCAAAAGGATTACGATAGTCAAACATTTACAGTTGCAGGAACAAATGAGTCTGTCCTGCTGTCATGTTTAGGTCGTCACTAAATGAACAAAAATAAGGTGTTCGCACGCCAGCAGCTAGAAAGAGAGGCTCGTTGCACCAACACACACTCACAGTGGGTGTGCGTAACTCACAGTGGTACGCGTGTGAGGTGGGCTGGCGCAATGGACTCCTATCTCTACCCGTAGTCAGTTTTACATTCATCAGTGAACACAGACAAATCATTGGATACCATATGTACGAAGTGTAGCGGCTATACGGACCAGATATACTACTGAATCGTCTACATTGTCTACAAGGCAACACGCAAGTTAGTGTCAAAATTTGTTAGCCTGGATGAAAGTAAGATGTAGTTTGTATAGAATACAATAACCGAATAACAGCAGTTTAGTTTGATTTGGTGATAGGCTATACTCTCTAAATGTTAATTGACATTACGCCCAACACCAAACCGAACTCTTCACTAAGGGAATATATGCATCGAGAATTGAGTTTAAATCTGGAATATACACCGAATATACACCTAACCGACGATACAGGATTCTATTTAACACAGGAATACAGGAATCCTATTTAATTTATAGGATTAAAGTATACTTGCTGGTTGGTGGCTGTAATTAAGGCCACCACAAGTACTTACTGACCATTCAGCAAGATTACTTTTGTCCTGAACATAGACTAGGACTAAAGTAAATTGTATATACACCGAGAAGCTGGGTACAAGTTGTTGTTGTTTTAGATTCAGCTACTCTGAACAAAAGTTTCAAGTAGCACGGGCTATGGTGAGCCCCGTAGTGGACTTATCTGGCACAGGAGCGGGGCTGTGCTGAACTGGGTACACCTCTGTGTGTGTGTGTGTGTGTATATATATATATATATATATATATATATATATATATATATATATATATATATATGTCGTACCTAGTAGCCAGAACGCACTTCTCGGCCTACTATTCAAGGCCCGATTTGCCTAATAAGCCAAGTTTTCCTGAATTAATATATTTTCTCTAATTTTTTTCTTATGAAATGATAAAGCTACCCATTTCATTATGTATGAGGTCAATTTTTTTTATTGGAGTTAAAATTAACGTAGATATATGATCGAACCTAACCAACCCTACCTAACCTAACCTAACCTATCTTTATAGGTTAGGTTGGGTTAGGTAGCCAAAAAAGTTAGGTTAGGTTAGGTTAGGTAGGTTAGAAAGTCGAAAAACAATTAATTCATGAAAACTTAGCTTATTAGGCAAATCGGGCCTTGCATAGTAGGCTGAGAAGTGAGTTCTGGCTACTAGGTACGACATATATATATATATATATATATATGACAATGTCAGACCACGAAGGAAAAATGAAACAGGAAATTTCCTTAAGTACTTTCGTATATTAAATACATCTTCAGAAGGTCAACCTTCTGAAGATGTATTTAATATACGAAAGTACTTAAGGAAATTTCCTGTTTCATTTTTCCTTCGTGGTCTGACATTGTCATATATATATATATATATATATATATATATATATATATATATTTATATATAATTAACGATAACTTATATTTCACATAAAACAAACTTAAGTATAATATATATGAGCCCTATGTATATTAAATGTATGTTTTATATGGAACGTGAGTTCCATATAAGTTCCGTGTATCTTAAATTCCGTGTATAAATAATGTGATTCAAAGATTCATTTGGATTAGCCCGTCCTCCAACAAAGACTCAAATGTGATTCCATGTCTTCCCGGCCGGTGAATGTTTAACACGAGGCAAGAACTCTTCGTCATGCGCATTAATGACAATATGTAAAAGACAAATCGAACGCTTTATGTAGCATACATAAATCTGTATCTGTGTATTTACGTATGTAGCTTAGCCTAGCATGTTAAAAGCACTACAATCACCTTCTGGGGTTGATTGTTCAATAAATCCCTGAACTGTATGTTTGACAAATCTCTCACCCTGTCCATGGAGGACAGAAGAAAATGCATATATGCTGGTTAGCATTGTAAATGTGTAGTCACTTGCACAGTCTGACCTCTGGGGTCAACCGGCGCGATGGAGAATAAGCTGTGACGTGGTCGTTACAGATTTGTGTGTGGAAATAAGATAGTTGATGACTGCTTACGAAATCTTGGTCAGAGAATTGTGTCCACAGAGGAAAAAAATTAACTTTCAGGCAAAGTCAAAGGAAAGTAACGAAACGATGGAGAAGGAAAGTCACTAAATAGTGATTGAGAACAGTAATGAAACAATGGGTGATGAAGGAAAGTGAAGTGTGTATAAATCATGGTAATCTAAGTGAAAGGAATAACTATAGTTAAAAATAAAATAAAAAAATCAGTGGGGTCAACAATGGACGTCAAAGGCCTGCAAAAAACACTCGGGAAATACAATGTTTAACTTACCGGTGAACTTGGAAGGTAAAGAACTATACAATGAATAGTTGTCATTTTGTGAACTTACTGGGGACGAATAAGAAAGTGCATTGATTAATAATGGATCACCTAGACTGAAAATGTTCTCATGGAATGTTAACGGCTTAAGAAATAAGAATTACAGATGTTAATTTTTATGTAATGTGAAATTATATTGATGTGGCCCTCCAGGAAACGGGATAGAAATGAAGGCTCATTGAAATTAAATGGTTATAAAGGATTTCACCTTTTCGCCACAAATAGAGGGACGTCGATTTACGTTAAGAACTCCATACGAGCGGAGTCAAAAAAAAAAAACGAGAAAGAGTCGAGAAAACCCGTCAAAAACACAGGGTATAGAGAGTGTCCGTGTTAAATTATCATTAAGGGAGGGGAATTTAGTGTAGTTGATTTGTGTGTATCCAGGAACTGCTTCCACGCTCACTATCTACATGACTGCATCCTTAATGCTCGGCACACAAGCCTCCGGACAGTGGGAAGGATTAACGCTAATTGGATCAAATGGTTAGTCTCTTTAAGCTCAAGTGCGTTTATTGAGACAATAAAATACATCTCGAAGGGCTAGAGTAGCTTAGACTATTTCTACCTTCCTCTAGTTCAAGTCCCTCAAGGGGCGTACTAATCCAGCGAGTACAAAGTCACAAATCACAGTACAAGAATCACATTTCGGGACCAAAAAGCCAAAGCTTAACCCCCTCCGCAAGCACAACTAGGTCAGTACATTTTACCTCGCAGGTTAATATATTAAACACAGCATGTAAGTGTTACGCTCTTGGGGCAAGGTGCTTGTACCTCCTAAGTATTCTGTCTATCATACCATTATCACACATCCAAACAAATTGATATTGTACACTACTACTTTACAGTCTCTACAAGATCATCCAGATACTAGTCACTTGGGAAACAATGAACCAACTCACATCAGGGGAGGACGGCTTGACGAGGCCTGCATTTTAAACTCTCAAGGGAGGAGGGGTTGGGGAGTTTGGAACTCGAATTGTTAGGAAACTACTTTGCGACCACGTTGCCAATCTTGAATTATCATTGCAGGCGATGAGTCACAATAACGTCGCTGAAGTATGTTGACCAGACCACACACTAGAAGGTGAAGGGACGACGACGTTTCGGTCCGTCCTGGACCATTCTCAAGTTGATCGTGAATTGTCCTTGGAAAAAAAAAAGTCCTCTTCCAAAGGAAAAGATTTAATATTAATAAAGACAAGAAAAGTGCATTCATTCAAAATGTAGAAGATTGTTATCAACAATACGCGCCTCTCTGCGTTGATAGCTTTTACGAGGACATGGTCGAGAACATAGAGAAATTACTACAGAGGGAAAATAACGGGGGCAGCAAGTCACATAGACCTAAGAAATTTAAATATTCTAATGATCAGCAAGTCAAGGGGTGGGAAGGGAGCTATCAGGAGAAATCGCCAAGCCATTACGACTATATAGCACTGGGAAGGGGTCAGGATAAGGATTTGGGATGAGACGAGGGGAAAGGAATGGTACCCAACCACTTGTGGACGGTCGGGGATTAAACACAGACCTGCATGACGCGAGACCGTCGTTCTTACCGTCCAATCCAGAGAAACATTCTCTCCTTGGACGATGACGTTTCGGTCCGTCCTGGATCATTCTCGAGTCAACTGTGTGTGGTTTGGTCAACATTTTTCAGCCACGTTATTGTGACTCTTCGTCTGCATTCTCTCCAGGGCGGGAGAGAATGTTACGGGGCACACACAAAGCATGGTTAAAATTAGAATGAGGGATGAAGAGAAAAATACAATGTTGGAAGTGGCAAGGGAATACAGCCAGGTAAGGAAGGAGGCGCGAGACAGATACTGGCAAAAGATTGCATAGTCACTTGGTAATACTAAGAACCTTAAATACATATGGGGATAATCAGAGAAGTAAACAAAATCAGGGGTTGTAACACCAAATTCATAGCTCACCAGACCCAGGAATGTTTGTTAATGAATTAGTAGACATGGTCTAGTGCTGCTAGTATGCAGTCCTGATCTGAAGCCACGAGAAACACATTGATTCGTGGGAAAAATATTAGAAATGGTGTAACTTTATGTGCTGCAAATACAGGATCAGTAACATGCACTGAGATAACTTACGATAAGCTATTTGTAGATATAAAAAGTGGCAGGTCTACTGCTCCGGGAAAGGATAGAGTAACTGGTATAAAATGCACACACACTTGGCGCTGAATAGCCTAACCGGTTTCAGAATCTGGCAGAGGCCTAAATCCCTACACAAACAATTCATCCAATTATATTGTTCAGTACAATGAGTTATGTATGACATTCTCACGTATTTAGCAGGTATGAAAACTAGTCCCTTAGTTGATTTGTTTAACGCGAGTTATAGTGAGGGAAAGTTACCAAGAAAATGGAAAGAGGCTGTCATCATTCAATTACCCAAGTCAATTGGAGGTTACAGGCTTGTATCCTTAACATCCTGCTTTTGAAAAATGATGGAAAGGATCTTGTTAAATAGACTACTCTACCTTGAAAGAGGTAACACGTTTAATAAGTTCAGGCTTTATCAAGTACTGCAGACTTACGGGCTCACCATAGCCCGTGCTGCTTGGAACTTTTTGTTCCAGGTAGCGAATCTTAAACAACAACAACATACTGCAGACTGTTTCATAAAGTGTTTGTCTAATGTGGAAGACAACTGTAAAGTTTTTGTTGATCTGTAAGGAGCATTTGATAAAGCCAGTGGGCAAGTTATCTTATAAGAATTAGCCAATCTGAGAATAACAAGGAGATTGCTACATTGTTTGCTTTAGATTCAGCTACTCTGAACAAAAAGTTGCAAGTAGCACGGGCTATGGCGAGCCCGTCGTATTTACT